TGTGTGTGTGTGTGTGTGTATGTGTGTGTGTGTACCTCTGTATAAGGTGTCATTGGTCACATGTGGCAGCGTGGTTTTGCAGCTTCCTGTCTGTGGGTCACACGGACACTGGTTGTCACAGTGACACTCCTGAGCACAGGACAGACCGAAGAAGCCCAGAGGACACACTGACACAGGGAGGACACAACATTCTTTAAGTAGCCGCACAAAAACAAAACACTCTTCACACAAGGACATTTTTACATACGAACCAATTTTTCATGTTTGTTTCATTTGGAACAAATTAACACTTTAGTCTGACACACGCACGTCCTGCCGTCGTCACCTAAGTGGGCTGCGTCTAATCTGACTGGTTTGTAGACAGCGACACGTGCGACTGATTGTGGGTCATGTGGTTGCCATGGTAACATATTTATGGTATTACTACCAGCAGCTGGGAAGTAGAATCATGGTGGTGTGATCTGTAGATCTGGTTCAGGTCTGATGATGACACTTGGAACTCACATTGTTCACAGGCATCGCCCTGAAAACCGGGGGGGCAGGTGCAGCGTCCGTGGACGGCGTCGCAGGAGCTGCCGTTAGCACAGTCGCAGGTCTGATTGCAGCCGTCACCGTAGAAACCTGGGAGGCACTCTTCAGATAAAAATAAATATATATTACACCAGCTCAACACAACATCGACTTCCTGGAAACAAGCTTCCTGCCAGCTAATATTCAGGGTTTGTACTCGACAACAAACTGTTTTTATTTCCTTGTTGATGCCGCCCCGAAAAAAGGGAAAAGTGCTCTATCAATAAAGTTTATAGCCCTTATTCACAAATCACAATTAGTCACATGGGGGCGCGACATCAGTGTGACAGCCCAGTTTACCTTGGGTGCAGTTGGTCCCTCTCCATCCTGCATCACAGACGCAGCCATCTACAACACAGAGACGCAGACACATGAAAGACTGCAGATACACAATCAACACCAGCTCAACACAACATCGACTTCGGACTGTCGGATCACTCGGTAGAACTCACACCTCTGCAACTGTCTCCTTATGGATCCACTTAAATTCAATTCACTGGATTACAGATCTTTATCTGGATCTGCACCAAATCACAGTCTCATTAAATATCAGTCCTCTAAATAAACCCCAACGTGTTCTTCCAAAGTTTAATGGAAGTAAGTTGAGTAGTGTTTGTGTAATCCTGCTAACAAACTGACTAACAAACTAAAACACAAACAAACAAACAAAGCAGACAAAAGCACGACGTCCTCGGCCGAGGCAGCAAACAGAACGCTCCTGTCTGAGCAGGGCAACAGTTTTACTTCCTATATTTCTGTGGCTTCTCAGTGTCCGACAGACTATAAATAAAGATTAACACCATGACGGCTCCCAAAAGGGAAGCAACTCTCCCCTGGTGGACTGCTGCAGTACAGCGTCGATCATAGTCCCTGCCTCCTCCATGTTAGCAGATGGGACATGGATTGCATTTTATCTCACTGATGTTTGCTCAAGTGTTTCTGATCAGTTTGGTTTGATTCAGTTATTTGATGATATAAAAACAGAGACGTCATGATTGACAGCTGAGACTGACGCCTGATTGGTCCGGTGCGTGTACAGATCCAGATGACGTCATTGGCTCAAGATCGCAGTGTTCATACCGGAAGTGGAGACGCATCGTCCATCTTTATTTACGTCTGTGATTTCAGCACTTAAAAATCTCTTTTCCTTTATTTCAGCTGAGGACAGTGTGAGCTCTGTATAAATGTATACCTCATGAGATTTACACTCAGGTTTATTGGGTGCATCCATTAGTCCTTCAGTAAATCAGACAAACAATGATCGATCCACACTTACCGACAGTGCAGACACCATGGGCCCCGCAGGCTGGCGGCTGACACACCAGCTTATGACAGGCTGTGCCCGTCCAGCCCCGCTGACACACACACAGTCCGTCCACACAGTCTCCGTGTCCGCTGCAGTCCTGCGGCTCGCAGCGCCGCGGGTGAACACACAGGAAAGTGGACACTTTCCGGCTGCAGCGCCACCTGTTGTCCGGTATGCTGTTGGAGAGCAGAGATGGATGAAAAGGAGCAGAGGAGCAAATGTACAGTACAAAGGCAACATCCACTAAACTACATTCAGGTCTGAAGACGCATGAACTCTGCTAGAGGAGGAGACGAGATATTATCCCAGCAATCTGTGAGCACCTGCACGCTCAGTGCCGGAGGACGTGAGTGGCTGTATGTGTTTTTTCAGGATGGCGATTAAAAAAAGTTATGGAGGAAAAACGCTCTTGTGGACAAAGATCATGATGAAAAACGTAGCTGTATGAAATACAGACTGAAGAACTGAGAATATGACAGCGAGATGTTACACGTGGTCGACGGATCCATTGGCTCACCAGTGATCAGAGGGGTAGCTGGCCAGGGAGCCGTCCACCACGAAGGTGGAGGACCCGCCTCCATCCAGGTTAATGGCATTGATCACTCCGTTCTTCTTCAGGAATGCAGCGACCTCCCAGAGACTCATCCTGCACCAGAAAACAAAACAAGAAATATAACCAGTTAGGGTCCTGCTCTCTGGAACATCCTCCCTGAGGAGCTCTGTAACTTTCATCCTCTTCTTTAAGACACGTCTTCACTTTGCTTTCTCAACATTCACCAGTTTTTACTGACTGTTGTCGTCATTTCAGTTTTATTGAGTTTTCACTCTTATCTCATCACGAACACTTTTAGTCTCATATTGTTGTGGACTTGTCAAACTGCTCTGAATTTTGTCCAATGAATTCTTCATTTTTAACTTGTAAAGCAGCATCTGTTTAGAGAGGTGCTATGAGAAAAAACCTCTCTCTCCTTGTCTTACCCTCTTACTCCAGTCTGTCCATCGTTGTGGAAGAGGACAAGTCTGCCCGCAGCATCGTGACCCACCGCCGTCCTGGCCGACAACACGTCCACAAATGTGAGGATTTGCCCTGTGACAGTATGAGGGAAGAAACATGTTGTTTTTGTATCAGGGAATACTACAAGTAAAAGGAGTGAAGACTCATGAAATCAAACTATATTAATATGTCTCAGAATTATAAAAAGACGTGGGGTTGATGCTCACTGTGTCAGAGTCATAAATTAGACATGTTGCCCCCCCGACCAATCACTGTTTGACATTTTTTATGACGTGTGACATCACAGGGAAGGAAACGCCCATTGTATCAAGCGCTACATGAAACCAACAGTGACTGAGGCTACGCCCACATTATTACGTTCTCATTTAAAAACTCATCCACTCTGCCAGAGATGCATCTGCTGCCAACACTCATCTTTCAGCCAGTTAAAAACAGAAGTCCGCTGGTTGTGTTTAAGTTTGAAGACTCTGGGGCTGCGTTCTGTTCTGGACGAGCAGAAACTGAGAAGTTTGGAAACTATGACGTAGACGCTCACAACCTCTTGCTCCTGTCACATGACCTCCTTCTATATAAATAAAACCAGCATCAGCTCCCAGAGTAGAACAACACTGAGAATCAATTACAAGTGTCACTGACCCTGTTGTGTTTGCTAACAGCTGCTGTTCAGATCAATTCTGTATTTTACAACAGTTACAACTGTATGTGGAGGAGACCAGGTGTTATTTACGCAAAATGCTTCCAGTGTCCACTGATGAGTTTGAGGACACTGTTTAAAATGAAACTGTGGTCGTATGGATGAAGCCTGGCTGTCCTCACTAACAGTTCATACAAAGCTGAGGCCAAGTTTCAACTTGTATGTAAACACTGACTGGTCAGAATGTCTTGTCTTGATCAAACACTGTGACGGTGGCGCGTCAGGTCACAGACGAAGTTCTGCAACACTGAAACATGGAAGAGCGGCACAACATGATACAGGGACACGGTGCCAAGTTCCAGAAATCTTTTTCTGGAACGACTCTACCCTAAAAACTGTTTACTGATTGTGTTTGTTACTATGGCAACCTGTGACCTCACAGCAAACCAGTTGGGTTTATTGTCAGTCGACACTTTCTGTTTCTCGTGAAAGGTGTTTGTCTCTGAGACTCTTTCGTTGCCGACGACTGAAATCTGGCAGTCGCCCGGAGACGTTGCAGTTGATGTTCGTGGCTGTGAAAGTACAACACGCACCCGTCCTCTGTGTCTTGTCACACTCGGCCTTCAGGCTTTGGTTGATGTAGACTTCACCGTTCCTCAGGAGCCACACCACGCCACTGACCAGCTGCATGAACCGGTTGAAGCGATCATTCACTTCTTCCTGCGACAGATACCTGGGTGGACGGACAAGAGACAGAAAATCAGGACATGATATCATAGATAAAACTATTGTACATCTTCATTTTATGTTTCTACATTTACAAACTGTGGAATTCACACTGAAATATCTCAAACAATATAAGATGAACTGCCATTTTATTTGTTTACAGCCATTCATGGACTCACAACAAAGCAAGAGAAGTAGATAAAAACTTGAACACGTAAAAGCAGTAAAATGAGTGAAATAAAGATGAAAAGAAAACCATCAAATCACAGCATCACTTGCGATCAATCTATAAAAATGGGTTTTTAAGAGGTGATTGAAAACGTCCTCACTCAGAGGCCCCCTACAGGTGGGAGGTGTAACTCCAACTCTCGGTTTGTGCTTTTGTTTACAACGATGGAATCAGGATCGATGAAGTGGAGCAATGTTACAGGATTTTCCACAAATATGATGCGTCGTTTTACTTGATGATAAATCAGAGATGAAACACAACAAAGTGTCAGAAGGGCGACGTGTACCCTGCACGTGTGTTGTGTATCGGCTCCTGCATAAACACTACATACTGTAGACTATATTTGTCCTGCCAGAGTCTTTTTTTTTTAAACAGTTTATTTATTTGCATTTTTCATATACAGTTCACAGCGTCAATAACAGCAGTAGAACTTCAGGTTTCACCCAAACCCACC